ACATATATATAATGATATAGTAACAAGAGAATATATATAAATAATAATACTAAAAATAATAATAAAATTATAACATCTCCAAAAAAATTTAAAAATATTCCTCATTTGTTCTATGGCTCCACAATAATCTTCAAAAACATGACCATCCATTCGGATATCAATATTTATACATATACATATATACATATATATATATATGTATATAAATTATCATTATTAAATATTAATACTTCTAGTCGTATACTCCCGCTAGAGTAAAAGTGGTCTTGCGCGTGCCAGGTATAAATATATCTGGACGCCATAGGCAAATACAGTGTGTACCAGCGCATGTATTTTTTTGCTTTCTTGATATGCGATAGATACTAACCTAACAAAACTCGCCTTTACATTTCTCTCATTTGGTATGTCTTAGTCTTATTTTATTTAAAAAAAGAAAAAAAATATAGAAGAGAAGAAAGGGAGAAACTCCTTTACTGAATACAAAGTTTTGATGAGAGAAGATAAAATGAAAAAAGTATTAAATTAAACGATGAAGATGAACAGATCTATCCTTTTTTTTTCTTTTTTTTTATCTCTTGTCATTTAAGAAGTTACGAATAAAATTATCGTAAACGTTATTGCATTATAAAATTATACATTTATGTATGATAAAAATAATCGGTTTGGAGCACTCGTAAAGTAATCGAAAGACCAACTCTTCCAATGTCCAAAATGTTATTTCAAGTTAAATATATAAAGTAGACTAAAGAATATAATGTTATTTTATTCGTCAGATAAGTCAACGCGTCTGTTAGAAATATATTCTCTCGTAAGATCCACAACAGAGTGTGTGTATGTGTGTATACGTATGTCTGTGTATGCTGTTTATATCTCGTGTCTGAGTGTGTCTCACTTAATTGAGAATCTCAATGTACTTATCATTATATTTCTTTTTTATTATTTTTTTTTTATTTACTTTAATAGTCAGTCAATTTCAGGGTCCGTTTAAAAAGAGAGAGATACTTACATTTTTTTGCATTCGCGTATAAGGAATGCACGTCTCCATTGTATTATATATTATACACATTGTTATATTTACAGGTTTCACGATATATAACCGCACGCACGTTTTCTCCATTTTCTACTCGTCATACTGAAATTTCCAACCATGAAAGGAAACGTCTTTCCGTTCTTTCTTCCTACTACGCACGGATTACTCCATTCGGATTACTTTACAAGTACCCACCGCGAGAATAAACCTCCTTTCCAATGCAACTAAGTCTTATATCATCGAAAAATATCATCGAGAGATACCTCTATTATACTACTAGTTCTTATTTAGTTTTACCTTCAGCGAACAGGAATACTCATTTCCAGTCAATATCTCATAGAGTACAATTATTGTATATGTATATATTTATATTTATATATATATATATATATATATATATATAGCGCGCGGTAGTCTCTGGATAGCTTTCCATTTGTTTATCTAACTTAACATAAACACCGCGCTTGCGAATTGCTTACGACGAAAATAAAATAAACGGAATCGCGAATCATACGGAGAACGGGAGAACGATAATACCATGCGTAGCAACATTATCATAGTGCCCTTGTCCGTCGCCGACAATGCTACTTGTATCAATATCGTTCCCCCGCATTGCTTTTTACAACAAGGATCCGATCGTGATTGCACGAAACAGGAAAGTCTTCCTTTTTTCCCTTTAAAATAGTGCTCGGACACTTCTCTCTCTTTCTCTCTCTCTCTCTTTCGCGTCAAATAATATTAATTTGAATATTTTCTCTATTGCACCGATATTTACAATGGACGTTTATATTTCGTATTTGTCTCAATCGATTGACGAATCATCTTTGATATCGGTCGATATTTATTATCCAAACAAAAACCACTAAAAATATTCCCTCTGGTAAAAAACAAAGAAAACATTTAATACATACATAATAAACATTGTCTCTAAAACGTTGCTAGTGCAACGTTACATATTGGTATAAAAGAGAAACAAAATAAAATTGTTACATGTAAATAGACAATCCCGTTCTGAATACTATTAAAAAAACAAGGCAGCTGCCGCGATTTATTTTCTGAATTTTCGTATAACGTGCAAAAATCGCTGCTAACTGCAAATGTCTTTACTTTAATCGCGTCTGGCCGCTTTCTATAATCGAAGTCGCTCTGTCTAATTGTTCTAGACCATCCTCCAAAAAAATGCGATAGTGTACGTAAATAAATCTCATCGGCGAATCGACAACGTAATCAGAGAGACCGGTACTCTAAATGTTAAGGCTTTCATCGCAAAAATTTGTTTAAATCATAAACGATTTACTATTGGACATATGCAGCCTGACGAAGTGATGATTTTGTCTCTCGCTCTCTAAATACTTTTATAAATACAAGTAGAATCTTCTTTTTGAGAGGATCTCTTTTCTGGGAGAATCTCTTCGTGTAGCTTCTTTCATATCGCGCGAATGGACACTTCTTCCAATAGTATACGCATTATGATTTAAATTCTGTTCGTATGTAGAACATTAAACAAAACGCGCTCCCAACGCGATCCTGACGGATGAATCGCACAAGGAACATCGTTGAAGGACCGTCACACTCCGCTTTATCTTTCTTTTTTCCTCTTTAGGAGGTATGTATTACACTATGGTGGATCTACTTGTGGTGAATATATTGTCGCTCTTTACGTGCTATACCATACAGACACATGCGGCAGAAAATAGTCTAGGCATTCTTTGTTTGCGATAATACACTCTACATCGTTATTCAAAAGGAACTTCGATTGAACTTTTTATTATACGCTTTTCTTTTATTTCTTTCTTTGCTATTTTCTTTTTTTCTCACGAAGGCCAAAGTCACGCGCGCTACCGACGTGTATAGATCAAAGTGAACTGATTCTAAAGATAAAACGAAAGGAGAAATTTTGCATCAGCTCGCGCTATTGAATGTTAACTTTTCGAGGATAGATTTCGCAAAGTTAATATCTTTTTATATAAATGAAAAATACATGGTAGGGCCATGATCGTGTATGCAGAAATTAATTCAAAGGCATGACGAAGTGTACGCGCTACCGTTTCTCGGATGATTCGCAATAGACTTTGCGGTGGCACTTCTTTCTCGTTGATTCTAAGTCGCCTTCCGAAATTTGTTTTTACATTCCGACACCAATCACGGCCCAACACCAATAAATCGCAATCGATGAACACGTCAGATTGTTTGAAGCCCTTTTTGGAATTTCTTTTTTGGAATCGGGCGTGCGCGGAGCAGCGGTGTCCCTTCTTATCTATTTCAAATGAAAATTCGTGAGAAAACGCGTAAACACGTTGGAATAAAAACTGCGCGGGCACTGCAGGTCGGATCTGTAGTTGACGTTGTTCGGCGCTGCACTGCGGGGGTGATGGTGATGATAGTGATTCGCCGTAGGTGTTAAATATGGTCTGAATAGTTAGGGTTTGCTGTTGTCATTATTCAATGACAACTGATCAGCGAGTTTCTGCTGCTGTTGTTGCTGCTGCTGCGGACTGACCTCGCTAACGGCACCACCGCTCATCAGCTTCGCATTGTTATTTTCCGTGCTGGACATCTTCGCATAATCGCGCTTGCGCGGCGTGTTCTCCGACTTGACGATCGTGATGTCCGGATTGTTCTCCAGCATGGACGTTGCGGCCTTCGGCACCGTTGTCGGTACCTCGATATAGCCGCCACCCTCGCGCTTGATCGACGTCGTGGTCGTGGTTAACGTCGCCGCAGTCGCCGCGTTCGCGTTGATCTTCTGCAGTATGTCGTTGACGGATTCGTTGTTTTCCGTCGTCGCCGACTCCGTCGTCGTCGCATTGTTGCTGCTGCCACCGTCGATGTTGCCACCGGATGCCAAGTCGCCAGCCAACGAAATTCTGTCTGGACCTTGCAGGGTTGACAAATATGTGGCGAGCGTATGGACGGTCACATTGAGGAACTCGGCGGCCCGGAACAAGGTAATCTCCTTCCGCCGCAGTTTCGCTAACACTTCAGCGGGGCCCGGCTCAGACCAAAAATCTCTTACTCTGAAAGATTGACTGTGCATTACTATCGCAATTCTTTTTATCAATATTGTATTCCTTTATTTTACAATTCGATTGCCATCTACGTGTTTATTACCTGTACGGATGTTTAAGGCAACCATAACTGTCGCGGTATCTGCCATATAGGGTGCCGTAAGAGACGCCGAGGATTTCGGCGGCAGTCTTCATCTCTAGTTCTTTGCTCTTGATGGCGTCCATGACACGTCTCGTGAACGGTTCCTCCCAGAACTCTTGTCGGCGTCCCGTCGTCAGATAATCGTTCATCTTTATCACGTCTCGAAATTGCTCGGGGATCGACAGATTCGAGGCGTTAGAGTTTGATGGAGTGCTAGGCGCTGCAAAAGCAAATATTTATTTAACGCAAAACCGCCAAATTGGATGACGATATATGATAGCATTGAAAAGATAGAGACTATTTTCTTTTAGAAGATTCAAGAGAAGAATTTGTGTTTCTATGGATAAAGATCGCTATAGCTTGAATCCCTAAAAAACAAATTTTCTTATTTAATCATTCAAGAAATTCCAGAAATAGTAAAATATGTATGTTAAACTTGTTCAAAAACAGGCTATTTTAGATTTACACTAGACAAAGCTTTCAATCAATTATAGAGAAAGATTACCGCGTGAGTGCGAGTATAGAGAAATCATATGTACCTTTCTTTTCCTGATCAGATGTACTATCATCCTTGGACATGTAGGACAGCTAAAAAAAGCACAATAGACGTCGTCAAAGTCGTTGGATAGAATATTTGCGCGAGAATAGTTTAATCAGTTGGAAGAAAGTAGAACGAGACCTCTCTTAATGGTTGTTTGATTTAATTACGCGCGCGCGTCCAAGTAAAGAAGAGAATCATATCTAATTGGGGCCTTACCACCGGCAGTGGCGTTTCGTTATTCTCGTTCATCATCATCTCGTCGTCCCAACTCTCATGGTCGCCGCCCTCGCTCATCATTTCCTCCTGGGAAAAGGTTCGACGTGACACATTAGAGTCGTGCGTGGGTATCCCCGCGTATGTGTAATACCCGCCGCTGCGAGTCTAACAAAATTTTCCAATTTCTACATTCACGACAAGGGTCAACCCGTAAATTTGTTTATCTCAAGTATTTCGCATGCGTAAGGCTCGGTGCCGTTGCAACGAAATGATATTGCAGCGTAGATTTGTCTTTTTCTTTCTTTCACTTCTTTTTACATTTTTTTTAAACGTTCATTATATATTCAATATCGCGTCTTTGTATCAAAGCTAGAATTCATTAATGCCTTAGCACTTCCGATTAGAGAATTGTAAATCGAATACATCATAGATGATTCGTGTATCGTGATTCAGAAAAGTTTATCTGACAACATGCCGCATGTAAGTATTTGATATGCGCAAAAAAATAAATTTTAAATTAAAAGACAAATTAGTAATTTATATGATATAAAAACAATCAATAAAATGGTAGTTTTGAATTATTTAACTAGAAGTCATGATGCACAAATATCTAAATATAATACGCCTGAGAATATCAAAAGTGATAAAACATTTTAATTGAGTTCTATAAACTATGTTATAAAGATTGAAGATTTTCGTTCGCGATGCAATTGTTAGAGTATCGATCAATTATAAATAAGAAAATGTTACTCTAAATAAATCGTGACGACAATGTAAAAGTCAATGTTTTATTTTCCGTGACGTTTTCAATTTCGTCAATCGACGTATTCTTTTATTCAGAAGAAGAAAGAACCAACAAAAGTTTTCGTCAATTGAAATACGCGCGTAAAAATTATTTAAAAATAAAATATAATTATAACAAACACATACATAAAATAATATTTTAATCACAACATTCAATTAATATATAAATTGTTAGAATGTGAACAAGTTTTACAAAATGCAATAATAAATTCGGCGTAACTGCACCGATTCCTACACAGGCATAGGGCATTCGGCCCGTGATAGTGTTTAAGAGATTCGAATTACGTACATTTCCGGTGATGCAAGTGATCTTGGGCGTGAAAACGTCATGTGCCGAGGGAGGATCGTCCAGAGGCGGACGACCCCTGCGTCTCTGCTTCGGGGGTGGCGGCTCGTCTTCACCCTCTCTGCCTAGAACTGCCTCGACGCCGGGGGTTGCGGCGCCTGGACTGTGACCGGTGTTGTTCAAGTCGTTTTGCGTGGAATCACTGCGCCAGCTCACCTCAGCGAGCCCCTTGATGTGTAAATCCTCGGCGGTTTTCAGTAACGACGACAGCCTCGTCTGTAAAGCAAAACGGAATATAATCACTCGTCTCTAATTTCTATAATTAATATCACGCTAATAAGTTTACATAATTATTATTGTCATTATTATCGCTATCATAATGTTTTACATGATATAAAAAATACATTAATTATTATCGTATAAAATTGTAACATAATAATAACATACTATAATTATTATTTTTATAATTTTACAACATGTGGGCGCGAATAAAAAGGGCGAATGTGATTAAAGGTAAAAGTTCAAGCTTTGGAAAAAAAGCGTAAAGTAAATACGTAAATAGATGTGAGCTATGCAGTTACGAAACTCGTTATAAATCCACTATAAATTCCACCGAAGGAAAAATTGATTATACTTATTTATAAATTCACATAATAAAATATTTATAATGTTGCATACATGAAGCTATGTCATCGTTAATTAACGATTAAGTGTCTGAACGTTAAAATTTTTCAAACTATTAAAGATGCTTTAGCTGCATATATAGTAAAAGCGTGAATAATGGCAAACGTAATGATAAAACATTAAGATGATAATTATATACGGATGTCGTTAATATTAATGACATTAATAAGAAGTGCAACGATGGGGAATAAGAATAAACGCTTCTTTATAAGGGAAGGACGGTCAGGTTGAAATAAGCGGAAATGAGTAAATGAGCACGTTTTTCATTTGGACACCGATTTTCCCCGTAATCGTACTCATCCGCCGTGACTACATGTATATGTGCGCGTATATGTATACTCTACATATATATATATATAATTTATGAGAAAAATTTAATTTAATAAAAATTTAATGTGTATATAGTTTTCTTTATCAAAATATTTTATCATATAAAATACTCTATAAAACACAACTATAAAACACAAGAATGAGTTAAATCACTGTTAGGAATGATTAATTATTCTATAATTACAAAGAGACGATATATTTAGACAACGTATTTTTTTCTCTTTTTTTTTATAAATTTGAAATACTGCAAAGAGGGGGAAAATAAAAATGAAAGGCAGATCCATTATTTTCACGTCGCTGGCATAAAATGCTTATTTATTTTCATCAGAGTATTTATTTTTCCTCGCAAATTTTTCTCCGGACCCTTTTTCTCTGGAAAAAGGATATTCGTACACGTCGTATCCTCTCGTCTGCAGAAGTAGAAAAATTCGCACGATAAATATCGGACGAAAAAGAAAATCGTGAGCACGTATCGGGGTTGCAACAACGGACAATCCTAATTATTATTTGCTAATTCTCACCGACAAAGGCAACAGCAATGGCACACGCTCGCGGACGCGCGGCGCGACCGAATGCTAAATAATATGGGAACTTTCTACAAACGCGCGGTACGGCTTTCTATCAGCCACGCTCGGAATTGGAAAAATACCTATGTGGGTCAGCGTCGCCGCTACCGCCGCCGCGAAATAATGTATTTCAGAAATATCGCCGCTTTCTCTCTCTCTCATTTTTTGTTTGCGCGCAAACGGAGAACGGAGAACGGTGCAAGAAAAGGGACCATGGGAAAAAAGGACGGCGTGCTCCGCGTGACGCAAAAGTTCGATCTAAAACCATATAAAATCTCTTCGGTCCCTCTATAGCGCTTTATTCCGATCAGATGGAGAGCTTAAATCGCCGTCGTCGCCGCCAATCTTCAATCCGGGATCGGGCTCCGTGCATTTTCACTCGGCAATTTTTCGCGATTAGGCCTATGCGATACAAAACGTGTCGGAGAAAGCTCGCGCGACTGCAGCATCACGATTAGAAATCAAGGAAGAATTCGTTCTTCTCGGAAACAGATTTATAAGATTGAAAGATTCAAAAGATCATTAGAAAAAGAAAGAAAGAAAGAGAGAGATGCAAGGAAGCTGTAAAGTATCACAAAATCAAATACTATTATATAGATGAGAGATTTTGAAAATTGACTAACAACACAATAAGATATTTCTAAAAATATCTTAAGTAAGTGATTAATATTAAACTCTAAACTTTTATTTCAAAAGAGTGAAGATAAAAAAGGGAATGTAAACTTGTCACCGTAAACAAAATATTTAAAATTGAATAGCCAAATATGTCAAAAAAATTCTACGAACAAATATTTAAAAAAAAAAATCGGTAGTTTATAAAATATTTCGAAAATTAGATATTTGGCGGAAAAAATCTTAAGAAACATATGGATTTTAAATGTACGATTTATGAAAACTTTAATATTGGAAACGTATTAAAGAACTGTCAAATAGATTAAACATTAAACTATTGTCAAAAAGAGAAAAGAGCTATTGAAGACATATCTCGAGAAAATCTCAAGAATGCAATTTTCATTGAATATTTACTTTGGGCAATCTCAAAATTGAAAGCATAAGAAAATATAATAATATCGCAAACAAGATGCTGGAGAATGCTTGTTTCGTTTTCATTACTAAATCCAAATGCAAGGAGCAGCACAGTAACTTATAAATATACGTGGACTTTCAAGGATTATATATTCTTAGCTTTATTATTAAATTTGCCAAGTGCAAGCTCTCTTTAATCCATGGCTAAAAAGTATCTCAAGGATTACAAGAAAACAATTAGCGAAATCTATTAAACAATTATCCGATTAGGAACTTTTGTCATATTATAAATATATGTAAGTATGCAAGATAATGTATTATCACTTCTCATATTTTCATACAATAAATCTTCGTTAATGATTTGAAATTGATTTTGTTTCAATAAAAATATTTTTAACGCGCGCGCAATTTTTCAATTTTTAACATTAAATATTTTAACATTTTCAGGTAAAATTTCCGTTTCAGATAAAATTTCCAAATAAAATCCATTTTAAATTAAAAATGTAATTTTATATTAAATATCCTTTTATTTTAGAGCTTCCTCTTCAAATATTTTTTCACATGAGAAAAAATTGACTTCAAATTCATCAATGTGCCAGACACAATCGTGTATATCCTTATTGATCTCTTGACTTGAATATCACTCTATACCTCTTCATTTTTGTTGATTTTCTAGACTGTAAGAATTCGCTCCGACAAGTCGATATTCTCGACACGTACTTTCGTATATACACGACGGTCTTCTTGTCATAACATGTCGCGGCGCATTCGAACTTACGGTCGTCGTCAGTGCGAGTGAGAAATGTTAGCTTTTCGCAAGATAATAGGCATCGTAAAGTTCTCTCGTTAACTATAGCTGTCACACGGCACGACGACTCTTATCTACGCGAAATTGTTGTTATTGGAAAAGTGCTGAAGAAGGCAAGGAATTATTGTCCCGGGGTTTTACTGCCTAACTTTATTTCACGGCGACGTAATAAAACGCCCGCCGCAAACAGCAACATTAATGAGCACCGAGTGAAAATATATTTAATATATCTATAAATGAAAAATTTTGTCATATTATGTCGACAATATTTAATTAGCATTTTAGGTAGGTGATATAAATGTTACGTTTCGAGTTTTTTTAGTCTCCTTTATCCTTTTAAAAATCTCATAATTTCTATCTCTAATTTCTTTCACGGAGATTGCTTTTGCTTCATCACAGATTTTTACCTCGTATTTTCATATTCATCAAATATGATAACCTGAGAAGTGGTACTTACAAGTATTTTTCAAATTTCTCCGTAAATTTATCGAGTAGGTTTTGAAATGAAAAAGAAAAAGAAAAAGAAAAAAAAATGTCGACAAGTTGCGATGCTAAGAGCGAAAGAAAATCATTTATAGATGATTGTGATACTTACGTGATCGATGTTGATCTCTCCCTTGTACATGAACTCGACGAGTACTTTGATGTCCGAAAATTTGACGTCTCGCATGATGACGATAGGATCCTTCTCCTCGTACTGTGATAAAATTGTGTCGAAGTATGTGCTACACGCCGACAGTACAACCTGCGAACATGCAAGTTGGCGCAATTGTTAATCATTTATGCGATGATTTTATCTCCACAAACGTGAAGGCGGTAAACCATCATGTAAATAATGTCACAATTTGAATTCTACATCTACATATATTAAAACGCGCTGCACGACACATATATGTCAAATATATCGATAACTCGCAGTTAAATTATAGTAAAGTTAAAAATCTGAGCTTAATAAAGAAATTTTACAAAGAAGAAAGAAAAAATGCTATATTATATATTATATATATATTTTGTACGCTCTCATACACACATGTATAATTCTATGTATAAATATATTATATCTTTCTATTACTATTTCATTCTTCTCTAACTATATTATATTTGTTTGTTATTACTTCATTCTTTTATAACTATTTAATTATTCTATTTATTGTGTAGGCAATCAATGAAAAATACACTTTTATGTTTTTCGATTTGCAAACATTTATTATTACATCATTTATTTAGGCATAGTCCGAGTTCAATCTGTGATCTCCACCATATAATTACGCTTTCAAAATTTAATCCCGATAGACGTAGGTTAATTGCGGAGCACGTTGCACAATATGAAACTAAACGACATTTCGTAGGGCTATAGAGTTGTCGTAATCGTACTATAGAGCATGAGATCAAATTTCACAGGTAGAGAGGTAACTTCCTATACTACGGTATATAAATATTGTAATATAATTTACAAAAAAGTAATTGTATATATCTGTAATTTCAATGTTCTCTAATTAATCCGCATCAATTGACACTGGATACCCGATATTGAATTGAATGCACGATCAATTTATTGAATTCACAATCAGCACACAGACAAATATGTAATACTATCTGTTTTTTCTTTTTTTTTTTGCAATCCGCGGTAAACGTTACTTAGTTTCATGTTACGACATACGATCCAATTTATTCGCTTCGGCAAGTAAGGACACACGCGCGACGACGGCGTGTCAATCATTATTAATTACCGGCGAAATGGAATTATCCGGGAAGTCGCATTGTGACGCGCGTAACGAGCGCGCGACTAACGTAATGTATGGATCGAGAACGCGCGAGCGCATCACCCGATAAAATATGAATTCCTGTCTGCATATTCTCGGAGGATTTTTGCAGTACCATTCCCGAACTCCACCCGGCTCCTCTCGACGTAAATATCTAGCATGAAAGTCAATGAGGTTCCTCATACTCGTTTATAAAAATTCTCGTTTGCGACTTGGCATCGTTTATAACTTCTCTTCGAGGCGATTTCTTTTTGCGATAAAAATTTACACAAAGCAATGTATCTCTTTTTGATCGATGGATTTATAATGTCTCGATCTAAAAAAGTCGACGTATCGCGACGTTAAATTTCCGATCGTCCATCTCTTTCAATTTTCAAATCACCTAGTCTCTTAGCAGAATGTTAAATCTCTTGCGGGATTGCATCGTCATCCTAGATATTCGAGTTTCTAGAAAAATCTTGTCGAGAGTTTCTATTCTTTCCTCAATCAATTTATCTTACAAATACTCCGAAAGACCGTTGTTTTATTTAAACGTGTGTTGTACCGTCGTCATGATAACCTTCAATTAATTGCGTCTCTTTTGTATGCTAATTTGCCGATGTCGTCGTGCATATTGTCCCGTAACGGTAGTAGGTAAATTGGTACGAGACCCTGTGCGCGAACGAATGTCGTGGGAATTTCCGGACGGTTGCGCGAATTTCTTTCAACGTTCGCTAATAATAGCGCATCGTCGTTAGAGAGGAAAAATGTAACGGGAAAAGATTTTTTTTAAGTCGAGACGAAATTCTCAATTACCAGCGAGTTTGAAGAACACGTATGTCATAATCATTATTACAATAACAAGCATTCTCTCCTCTCACGTCGCTGTAAATTTTATTTTGCCGTAAAAAAAATTTCCTTCCTCGTCAGTTTTAGGCAATGCTTTTTCAACTTGAAATAACGATTGCAGGATAAGAATAGACGCATTAAAAAGGGCACATCTAGCCTTCTTTCTACGTAGAAAGCGATACCTCTTTGTTTCGACTCGTATTTTTCCCCGTTCACACATTTCATTTCCATCCTTTTTATTTTCTCCACGCGTATTCCTCATGTATCCTCTTTGTTATCCGTCTTAGTTTTCCCACTAATTTTTCGTTTCTTCCGTCGTGGGCGAAGGGGTCGCGAACGATGAGTGTCTGACTCGGCCCCGCCCAGTCAATAGCCTGAATATTTAATGTTAGAAGTTCCGTATTGATTTTCGCGATTTTTACGTCTCCGCAAATAAGGCCGTAAAGATCGTCTCGCGAACGGACGGAACGGGGGAGGAGGAGTAGAGGAGCCGGCAGACGGGGGAGAGAAAGAGAGACGCATAGACGCGTTACTTTTCAGTGCCAGCTATATAACGCTTTTTATTATGCCGGGGCGCTTTTATGGGGAAATACTGCGATGAAAAAAAAAGAGGAAGACGTCGAGACGAGCGGGGGCGGGAGGAAAGGGCAGAAGAAGAAAGAAATTGCACTGCCCGGGTTTCATATCGAGTCATTACGATCCTCGGGCACTTTCACCCCCTCCCCTCCCTCTCTCCATCACCGGCTTCCTCCCTCCCTCCCTCCCTCTCTCCTGCCTCCCCTCCCACCGTCCGCGACGTCTTCTGACATTAAACTTTTTATCGTGCATAACGGCGCTTCGTCTTTCGCCCAAAGTAAAAAAATAAAAATAAAAAAAAGAATATATAAATGGAAGAAACCGGGGTGGAGAGAGAACGACCCCCCTGTCTGCGCAGAAAAGGGATGCTTCGTCAAATTTGTCGATCTCCCTCGTCTGCCGTCCCCTGACCGCTCTCTCCCGCCGTCGCGTTTTTTTTTTTATTTTTTTTTTTTATTATTACGGCGAACGCAAAAGCATGACAAGCGCGCGATCGATCCCAAGACGCTTACGGCGAAAACGGCAGCGAAACGCGGAATACCGACGGAAATTTACATTCGTAATGGCGCGCATTTTAATTTTGTCGAGAGAATCTATATTTCTATAAATACAAGACTGGCGTACAATTTTGGAATTTTTTTATATACTTGGCGTATTTTTTTTTACCTTTATGAGGTTTTTTTTAGGTTAAATATTTATTCAACCGAACATTATTTCAGTTATTTATATGAATCGATATAAAAGCGTATCGGCAAGAGAAAGAGAGTGGATGGGGGGACGGAAGCGTAATGACGAGCATTGCCCGCGACACAAATGTCGATGAGTGAATCGGTATTAGCGAAAAATCATACGATGATAATTTAAAAATTTTGATCTTTACAATAGTTACAAATTAGATGATTATTTCATGTAAAAACGACAATCTTATTGTATTACAGCAAAAATCGATATAAAAATTGATATAAAAAGTAATAATTATAATTATAACTTCTCTCTCTCTCTCTCTCTCTCTCTCTCTCTCTGTGTTGATAGATATGTAATTCTCCAGAAGTCAAATAATATTCTCCATTTTGCATGCAACAAAAAAAAATCGACTCTTATTTATATTACAGAGTAAAATTAATGTATTGCGATTACTCGTTAGCATTTATCGCAGCGCGGATTTTTCGAATTTTCCCTTTTTTGCGGATTATGCCGATCTTGGCATGAATCAGCAAGTGCGCGAGAGTTCAGAAAGCTCAGAAAATTCCAGAAAGCGCTCGCAAGATAAGCGAAACGCGACGTGTTATCGCGGGGGAAAATTCCGAGCGAAGAATGGAAGCATTGATATCGAAATCGGTATCAATAAATATCGACGCTGTAAGAGAAATATCTCGATCCTAGGAAGTAAAAAAAGGTTATAGTATAAATATCTGATCCTGCTATAAAACCGAGAATAGAGCCGTTCATTGTGAAAATATGAAGTATATCCATGCCGCATAACGTCGAGGAGAATATTTTCTACAGTAATATTTAATAGAACGTCATGTAGGTGCAACCAAAACAGATTGATATATCAATTTTTCAACACCTATAACGAGGAAAATTATTATTTAAATAATAGAGTAAAATATAATAAAATATAAAATAAGAAAAATTTTGCACACGCCCCGTATTATTTTATAAGTATTATATTAACTCTTATAAGTCAAACTTTTTGTAATATCTTGCTGTAATTACCGATACTTGTCGATACTCACAATCAGTATTGAAATTAATATCGACGCTCCCTGCTAAGAGCCGCGCTTTCGATCGTCCGGAAGAGTCATAACTCATAACATATATAACAATACCGGAGACATTTCACTCGCGCGGCGAAGTTCGTTATAAAAACGAGATTACTGGCCCCTCGCTTGCAGTTACGTAATTCGATCGATAGTTTAGGCGTTTCCCGTTTCTAGCGGATGAACGACAGTGTGGGTGGAAAGAAGAAAGAGAAGAGGAGTGAAAGAGAGAAGGAGAACGAAGAGAGAAGAAGCAAGACGAAAGAAAAAAGGGATACCCCTTTTTGTGTCTGACGCGAGGGGTAGAATCGACACAAGAAACTTAACGAACCTGTCTTTTTTAAGGCGTCGATCCTTCCCACAGCTCGCTTCGAAGAGCTTTGTAAAAATTCGTTTTGCCAGCGATTGTCTTGCCGCGATGAAAGTGTCATACTCTATACAGAGTATTTCACTGTCTACAAATGTGAACTGCTTCTCGAGCAAATTGCGATCGATTCTTCTTTTGTGAAAATATCAAGATAACAATAGATTTTGGATTATAGACGCGTTTCTCACAAATTAAGTTTCAGAGACGCGAGCAGATAATATTAATTTAATTTTACTTTAACAATTAGTTATAAAATCAATTAATCTTGAGGCTAAATCAAGAGACTGCGAAGAAAGATGGTGTATTATCAGATTTTCAAGAAGGAAAATTAATTTAGAATGTAAAAAATCATATATGTGTATATAATTTAATAGTTCTTTGAGGCACAAATATATGGTCTCTTCTCTAGAATTTAATAATCACAATAATACGTGATCTCTTGATTCTT